TCTCGGTGCTCGAAACAGAGCTTGCCAGGGAGAGGGGAGCCCTCTTTTGACGCCCGCCGGATCCCACGTCCTCAAAATGCTTGATTTGAGGTTTTTCCTGGGGGTCCGCTACGCTGGAGCAGTTTTCCCCGCCTTTGATGTACCGAGGTCTCCGACAAAGAGACCCCCGACTGTAATGGCACGCGATCAACCGGAAGCTGAAGTTATTGTTATTCTCAAGGAATAATTTACTAATCTAGGTTTATCTTTGGAGCCCGTTTCTTAATTTGTTGTTGTTGTGGTTTAATACTGCTTTTTTCCTTGGGAATTCTTCTTAGAAATGGTAGTTTTAATTTAAACAGGTTTCACACTAAATTACTCCTCACAGTCCAATCCTTTAATCCTTTGGTGGGTTGAGCACTTTATTAACTGAAGTTTTCCTTTCTTAATTTCCTTCTTAACCATTTGCTGGCAGGAGAAAAAAGTAAAAAGAAACACTTGTGGAACCAACTCTTCCGTCACAGAAAGCACAATGAGTTGACCCAAAGTCCTTGCCTCTTCTGCCACCCTACGGTAGAGGGATTCTGCAACCTCACACAGAGGCTTGCTTTCCCTTTGCAAGTGAGATGCTGCTGCTGCAGCAGCAGCAGCAATTTCCTAGAGTGAACCCAAAGCCCTTGGCTCCAGGGGGAGCTCTGTCCTCCAGCTGCCTGCAGCCATACAGGCTTGAGCACACTCTCTCCTTACAGAGGGCTGTCGAAATCTCTTGGAAGTCAGTTGGGCAGGTCCAGTGACTGGGATACTCTCCACTGCCTAGTTTGAAAGGCTGGTTTGGTTCCTTAACTTGGCTCAGTGAATGTCTCTCCTTCCGAATGGAAATCAATATGGCATTTCTCACTTGTTGAAACAGAGCTGGTGCCCTACATCCCTTGCTGTGTATGATTTGCACAGAACGATTCTTGCCAGCACCTCTTCCTTGCAGACTAGGGGATGGATTTTAGGTGTGCGGCAGCAACAAGAGGCCCGTGCAATGGCTGGGTTAAAGGTTCAGGTCACGCTAGCAGGAAGGACATTGCGTGGCGAGTTCCCGCCCCCCATCAGGATAAATAAAGACACAAGACACCATAATTTAAGGTTAATTGGGCGAATTAGGCCACAACTTTATTGAATTCAGGAATGAGAGGCATTGGCTTAGGCATTGGTCCTATCGACTATCCGGCTCCAGCCCATTTGCTGGAGACACGGGGAAGGGTTAACACTATATCGGGGAGTCTCCTGCCGAGGCACGTCGACTAGGAGCTCCCGGGTCACCGCTCTGGGGCGTGCCTTTGGCCCACACCTCCATAGGCTTCGGACAGGGCCACGCCCCCCGGAGTCCTTTAACGGACCACCCTTCGCTCACTGGGGGGAGGTGATGGCGTTCCTCCCCCCCACATCCTCTTAACCCCTTCTTACCAATGCCTACCGCCACACGAGCAATCGCTCGCCGCCAATACTCTCATGCCTGAAACCAATCCCTTATCCCCTTTGCTATGTCGCACAGCCAAACATCATTTCCAGCATCTGAAAGATGCACGCCATCAAACCGGTAGAGGGCCTCACAGTTGAAACGAGTGCCCGGGTGTTCAATGACCTTCCCACCCAGGGCTGCCACTCTACGCACCACCGCCCGATCCAAGGCTTTCCTCGCCCTATTCATGGCTATCGGGCACCTGCAATCCCTCCAGACCCGCCTCTCCATCAAAGAGGCCCAAATGATTGTCATGTCCGGGTAAGAGGCCTTAAGCTCCTCAAAGTCACTGAAAATGTGCCACCGCAAATCAACTGCCTTCCTGTAAGCTAGGTCATTTTCTCCCAATTGTATCAGCAAAGCATCCGGGGGGCCCTCCGCTGCTGCTCTGGTCTTAAATGCGGGCAACATCTCAGCCCAGCGCATTCCCCTTCGTGCAACCCAGGATAAAGTGATGCCAGATGGTAAGCCAAGGCGTGGCCCGAGACCGGACTTGATGGCGCGGACCCTGGCCTAATGCACAATGCTGTGCCCGAATATCCAGACGCGGACCCCCATATCACCTGCAAGAGATTAAGAGAACAGGCCATGGTCAATCGACCCCAGTTGAACCGTCATAGATTTCTTCTAACGTAGCGTTTGTAAGTGTCCGATTTCCAGCGGCCTAAGTCCTTAACCCTCTCCGTAGTAAGGCCCAGGTGCACTGCTGTGGTGGCCGCTCCTATTCTAAAAGAGTGTGCCGCGAAATCTGCAGGGGGAAGGCCGCATGCAGCCAGTGTTGAGCGCATAACACGCGTGAACTGTTGACACTTCAGGGGTAAGCCATCTGCGTGGATAAAGAATGGCCCTGCCGAATTGGCCCTCAGAGCTAAGAAGCGCCTGGTGTCCTTAACAGGGCACGGGCCTGGTTCTCTGGTTGCCAGGAGCTGAACCAGGGCCCCCCTCCCGTACTGGTCTGTTTTGGAGCTACGTATCCGTAATACTAGAGCCTCCCGAGAAAGCGTAAGGTCGCTCAGCAACAACCCCCGGGAGGAACCGCGCTGACCCTCTTCGTAAACCACCTCACCCACATGCATTGCGCCGAAGGCGGCGATGGAGTATGCCTCTGAAAATAAGCGCGCCTCATACTTCGACCAACATACCGTTCTCAGCTTTTTGTGAATTTGGAAAAGGATGTCGAATGATATTGGCCTCCTCAAATCGTGGCTTGGGGGCTGCAGTCTGCGCCAGCCCTCTAGAGTCCTTCGTATGACAAAATCAGCGCATGGATCAGAGGAAAATACCGCCTTACAAAAGAATGATATTGCCGCAGCCTGAAGGTTGAGGGTTCTAGGGGCACGGCCCAAACGTCTTAAGTATACTAAGTAGGATAAAACCTCGGACTTGACGGGAGGGGCGTTGCTCCTGTCGGTGCGGGTTTTATTACGGAAATTAAGGAAATCCGACCACGCCTTCTTATAAGATCTTAAAGTGGACGGAACCAATGAGGCTAATACTCCCTGAATCACTTCTGGCTCCCATGACTCTGGTCCCCAAGTCTCCACAGATGTTCCGGGAACGGCTGAGGAAGCGGCTGAGCCTCCGGTGCTAACGAGCGGAAGCGGTCCATCTGAAAACGAGATAGGGCATCCGCGATGTCATTGTTAACGCCAGGCACAAATTTGGCAGAGAAGTGGATATTAAGTTCTAGACACCGGAGAACGAAGGAACGCAGAAGAGCACCTACCCTCGGTGACCGTGCGGCCTGCCTGGAAAGGACTCCTACCACTGCCTGGTTGTCAGTGTGGAAGCAAACCCTATGGTTACTAAAGTCTTCTGACCACAAGTGCACTGCCACAACAATCGGAAAGAATTCTAGGAAGGTTAAATCTCTGGTTATGGGGGTCCCTTGCCACGCTGCAGGCCAGCGTTGGGCACACCATTGCCCCCTAAAGTAAACGCCAAACCCTAAGGAGCCTGAAGCATCTGAATGAACCTGAAAGTCCACTTGCAGCAACAAGTTCTCCTGCCACAAGGAAATAACGTTGTAGTTCTCCAGAAACTTCAACCAGACTTCCAAGTCAGATTTTACCTCCTTAGATAAGCGAACCCTATGATGGGGGGATCGCAGGCCAGCTGCCAGCTTCGCGAGGCAGCCGCAGAATGGGCAGCCAGGGTAAACCACGCAGCAAGCAAAGTTTAAATGGCCTAGCAGTGACTGTATCTGCCTAAGTGTTACTTTTCTCAGGGGGAGGAGCTGCCGAATGAGGTCGCCGAGCGTGATCAGTTTCTCTCTGGGAAGTTTTGAGGTCTGAGCGACCGTGTCCAATTCAATACCTAAGTAAACCATGGTTGTAGCTGGACCCTCTGTTTTGTCAGCGGCTAAGGGAACTCCCAACTCCCCCGCTAATGATGTGAAGGCTTCAAGGAGCTCTGAGCACTTACGCCTGCTATTAGCGACGAGGATAGTCATCCAGGTAGTGCGACACGCCCTCGGATCCAGTTCTAAAGCGAAGCGCCCAGTCCAGGAAGGTGCTGAATGCCTCAAAGGCTGCACAAGCCACTGAGCAACCCATGGGCATTGCTTTGTCCACAAAATAAACCCCTTCGAATTTGAAACCAAGCCACCGGAAATCTTCCGGATGAACTGGCAAGAGTCTAAAGGCCGATTCAATGTCGCATTTTGCCAGCAGCGCGCCCTTACCGAATTTGCGAATAAGCTTGACCGCTTGGTCAAAAGTGGCATATTTCACCGTACAAAGCTCTTGAGGTATCGCATCATTGACAGACCCGCCCTTTGGGTAGGAAAGGTTGTGAATCATGCGAAATTCACCAGGCGCTTTCTTAGGGACTATACCTAACGGGGATATGTGAAGGCCTTCTATTGGGGGAGTTAAAAAGGGGCCAGCTACCCTACCTGCATTAATTTATTTACTAATTTTCTTTCGGGCAACCTCGGGCATCTCCCTCACTGATTTTTGATTTGGTGGATCACCTGAATTGGGGGGGGAAAGCTACTGGGATCCTAAAACCGTTACTAAATCCTTCCCATAAATAAACTGCTGCTGCCCTGTTGGGATATAGATGCAAGAGGTTTTTTAACGGGGTCAACTTGATGGGGGAAAAGGCCAGGCCCAGATTGAAGTTACTGCCTGTTCCCTTGAAGTCCCAATGGGGCTCCATGGCCACCCCTGGGTCCCTGGTTGTAGGAACCTCTCCCACCCCGAAAGGGCTGCTTCCCTTTCAGGCAGGCAGTGGCTGGGTGGTTACCGAGGCATTTTTCACACTCATGGCTGTACTTACAGACCGGCCGCACACAAACCCCTTTATTGAACTCCCAGCACAGTCGCCTCTGTCTCGGAGTGGTCTTCCAGGATTTTGATGAGTCCTGGGGCTTCTTGTCTACGTAGGGACCCACGTGCTCAGACCAATAGTTTTGGTCCCTCAGATCCCAACGTGTGGAAGATAACAGCGAAGCATTTCTGCGGAAATCTTCATCATAATTTAGAGCAGCAATATCCCCCGCTAGATCTCAAGCCCTCCTAACATGGGCCATGTAGGCGACTAAATGCATCGCCCGTTTCGGACAAGCCGCGCTGACCACACCCATAAACACCTGGAACCCATCCAACGAATTTTCAAAAGTGCGTTCAACTCTAGGTGCTCTGTACCTGCGTTTTCCATGGCTGCGCCTCTTTTCTCCTTTGCCTGTCAGCTTAGCAGGAGGCAACAATCTGAACGTATCAATAAAGTCCCCATTAAGGATCTTGTCCCTCTTTCTCTGAGATAAATGGTTACCCACAATGAAATCTGTAGATAGGTGAGTGGAAGTTTTAACATCCGGCACTAGTGCGCCATCCTTCCATTCAAGGGTCCCGTTAAAGGACTTACGGTAGGAATTGGCCCTCCTTTCATGGGCCCATGAAGGAAGACCCACACAGTCTTCCCCATGGCCCCAAAATTCCTCCCTAGGAACATCGCTATCGGAGTCAGAAGAAGAAGAGGTACCTGAATCATCCTCCGATTCCGACCGCCTACTCTTCTTACTCTTCTTCGATGTGTGTTTCCTCTTCTCCTTCCTCTTCCCAGAGAAGACCTCCGGCGCAGCTTGTTCCGGTATGCTGTTCGCCTGTACCGCCTGCAGACCTTGCGCTTCCTCGTGCGAAGTGGATTCTGATGCGCCCTCGGCTGGTGCCGCTTGCGGGGGTGGGATCTGAAAGAGACTAGGGACACATGGGTCCTTCTGTGGGTTAGCAGCATTGGAACCTAGCGTACTAGCCTTGCCCTTCCTGCCATTCCTCTGGCCTCCCTTCGACTTGCCTGAGGTGGCTGACTGAGCACGGGTGTTCTTCTTTTGCCGGGCTGTTGCCTCTTTGGCTGCACTCAGCACTGCTACCGTGGACACGGAGGTACCTGGGAGTACTACCTCATTAGGTTGAGTGTCCGGGATGCAGTCCTGGGAGAACGCCATTGGTGCCGATGGTGCCGGCGCTGCTGCCACTGGCGCCGCTATCACTGGTGCAACTGCCGTTGGAGGCGCTGCTGCTGTTCCGACTGTCGTTGGCGCTGCTGGCCCTTGTGTGGGTGTCACTTGACCTGCAGACCTGTTTTGCCTATAAAATTCCTGAAAGGCCGTGAAAAACTGCGCCAAAGCCTGTGGGTTACTTGGTATTATAAATGGCTGGGACTCCTCCTGGTTCCCTTGGGCCCGCCCGGATACGGCAGCACTATCCTGGTTACCTTGACCCGACATAATTGCGATCAGAACTCTTGCTTAAACCAATTGGTGGCAAGTAACTTGGTTTATATGCGTGAGCGGCAGGCTATAGCACCGTAGTTCAGTATTGTCTGCACTGTTAAGTTTCAATGCAAACCAAAATTGTCAACCCTGAGAGGTGAACTTTGCTACAAATTGCAGTAGCTCAGTATTGTCTGCACCGGTATAAACTACTGGTTTTAGATTTAATGAATTTGATGCAACCAGATTTCAAACTATTTATTTCAATTTATTTATTTATTTATCTATTTCAATAAATTATTTATTTACTTATTTGCTTGCTTTGATTAGTCAATTAACTTAAATTTGGACCTTTTTTGATTATACTTTGATAGAACTTTAAATGAACTTTAATCGCAATATCAGAGAGGAAGGGAAATAGAAAATGTGCTAGCAATCTATAAAAGTAAAGCGGTAAAGTAATATCTATGAAATAATATCAGGAAAGCAGTGGCAGTAAACGGTACCTTATGCAAGTACTACAGATGCCACTTGAAGCTCTTGCAGAAATAACCAAATAAATAAATGGTTTCTTAAATAACCCTTTAAATTTACCACAAATTCAATTAGAGTTTAATTAAATGCAACAGAAAATAAGAACACTAGTGAATAATTGTCAGAGAATTCTTTTTATCAAGCCAAGCACTTTAATTAAAGCAGTTGCATCCTCTTGCACAATAAAAGTTATTCCTGCCGCTCTATATTAAAGGAGCTAGCCGAGGCAAGCCCTTCCCACGAAGCATTGCCTGTCTTAAAATGGCGTCCACCTCAGGCCCCGTGGGGAATTTAATGGCGGCCGCGGGGGAACTACCGCCGCCGAAAGCGGTCCCCTCACTAAAGGGCTGCCGACTGCGAGAGAGGCTATCTAGGCGCTGATACCAAGCAGCCCACTTTAAACCTCCGCTTCTATGTTTATTTAAAACAATGAATAAGATAGGGACGCTAGAACAGGTTTAGTTCCCACGTGGTTTGCCTCTCCTAAAATGGCTGCCGCCGCAAAGCCACATGGGCAATCAAAATGGTGACTGAAAAGCTATCCCGTTGCCTAGCGACGCAGCAAAGTCTCCAGGTGGTAGCCTTTTAACAGCGAAACTCCGCAAACCCCAAAAGCAAAGCCGCACTATAGGCAAGGCCCCCCCAGAGATGGACACACACTATCAACTAAAGAAGCAGACAAAACAAGCCCGTGCCCTGAATGCTAGCGCTCCGCTGAATCGGGCCGCGCTGAAGAGAAGCCTCCTGGAAGGCCCCGCAAGGGAAGCAGCCGCAACAGCAGGGAAACGACCACAACAACAGGCAAAGGACCCACGCACTCCTAAGACCAGCGGCTAAGCCCCCCGCAAAATTAAATCGCAATTAAACCACGTACAACCACAACAACAGGCAAAGGACCCACACACTCCTAAGACCAGCGGCTAAGCCCCCCGCAAAATTAAATCGCAATTAAACCACGTACAACCTGATCCGAGTGGTGAAGACTCCTCCTCCGGGAATCACAGCAGAGCCGCGTGGCCGGAGTGGTGGGGGAAAGTTGCAGGAGGGAGGCTGCTCAGGGAGTAACCGGCTGGCCGCGTCTGCTGGGGCCCCTCAGCCACGAGGTGACCAAAGCGGAGAGTATAATCCACCAGAAGCGAATCGGAGAGCTGATGCGGTTCCTGCGGGATGTAGCGACGTGCCGGGCAAAGGAGCTCACTGTAACACTGTTGCGGGTGCTTGCACGCGATGTAAGAAGCCCCCAAGAAGGCACTCTGGAGGAGGCTCTCAATGCAACGGCAACCCTGAAAAATTAAACCTAAAAGAACAAGGTAAGCCAGAAAATACCACGAACTAACCTGCCAGGATACAAACTGTAAAACGTGAGGGCTAGCCGGCGGAGGGCGAGCCCCCTCTGCGCCGGCCCTAAATAGCCCAGGCCACGCCCCCCGCCAGCCAATTGGCCGGGCGGGGCAGACCCGGCCAGGATTCCCCTGTTCTCGTGGGGGCTGAAACCAGCCCCCGCTCACGTGGGGTGGGCGTGAAGCCCGCAACCCCACCTCCTGGGCAGGCCGGAAGTGGCTTTCCCAGTCCCTTTCTGCGACTATTACAATTGGATATTGCAATTCGGGTTTCAAACCTGCTTACGGCCCTTAAACGCATCCCTTACGTATACAGAGTATCAGACTTTAGGGGCTGGTTCCCCTCCATCTTTGGGAATCTTTGTTTAATTTGATGCAATCTATGGGTTCTTTTGACTGTGAATCCCCTCCGCCGCCTAGTTTGGAAGGCTGGTTTTGGCTCAATGAATGAAACCATGGGAAAGAACAGAAGGAAAGAAATGTCTCTCTCTCCTTCAGAGTGGATGCCCCTGAAGTCAGTCGGGCATTTCTCACTTTTTGAAACAGAGCTGTAATAAGTAAGGAATATGGACACAGGAGAAATAATACTTTATTATGAAAGAATTTGATAGGTTTAAGCAACAAGTTAGTTAATCCCAAATGAAGTATGGAGATGACGGGAGGTTAGATGTATTTTAAGATGATTTATTGTCATGGCAGAGGGGCGATGCCTCTTCCAATCAGGCCAGAACTTACCTTAATCTGGCCGCCTGGACACGCTCCTGATGATCCTGGAAGGAAGAAAACCAAAAGAGGCTTGGATAAAGGGGTTGTGGCGATCACACAGGGTCCCCGGACGTTTCACTGTCTACTGATCCCTGTGCCACCACTTGATTTCTCGCTGCCCCCACCCGGGCCCTACCTGGTACAATACTGAGTCAGGACAGTGCTAAATTGGAACATAAACTTCTCTTTGTTTATTGCAGTTTAAGAAGCGTGCGGTTTCATAAACGGTATCGGTCATTTAAAATCATGGGGTGCCTATCCAGACCTATAACTTCCGCTACCTGCTCTCTCACTAAACCACCTGTGGTGATCACACAGGGCCCCTGGACGTTTGACGGTCTATTGACCCTGTGCCACCACTGTGATTGCTTTCCCGCTGCCACCAACCTGTTTCTCTTGGATACACACAAGAGTCGAGACAGTTGTTAATATTAAATCAAATAAGCAAGTATATTTTATAAGCCTTAACAAGTTTATGGTTTCAGATAATTTTTCTTGTCAGTTTCTTAATCTTAGTTTCTGTACCGGCTTATACCTTTCCTAATAACTGCTAACTGTCTGACTCCTATCAGTTTCTCTCTCCCCCTCACAACACAACTCGACCAACCCACAGACTTATCCTCCCTCTTCCTTCTCCAACTCCCAACTCTCAACTGACTTCCACACAACTCCAACTCCAACTCCTCCCCTTGGGTTCCCACTGGCCAGACACTTCACACTCATTTAACCCTTTCCTTATGACCCACCTAGGAGGCAAACGGCACACCACCTCTCAGATATTTACTTGTCTTCCTAGCCCCTAACTGCTCCTGACTCAGCTTATTTCGCTACACTAACTCAACCTCCCCACAAACTATCCCAATTCACTCCCACTCCAACCAACCACCCAACTCCCAACAAACTCCCCCCATTGCTCCTCCCAGAGCTGGTTTTATAGTCCCTCTGACTCCACCCCCTGGGTCCTGATTGGGTAACCTGTTTACCTATTTCACCTCCAGCACTCTCATATGCTAACATCACAGGGGTCAGCCTCTTTTCTTTGGCCTTAGCCCCGCCCCTGGCCAGCCGTCCATTGTCCTCCCTGGCCAGAGGGTGGATCAAAGGCCGGCCCAAGCGGGTGGGAGGCACCTGCCCAGGTGAGCCCCGCTCGGTGCCGCAAACCCTGCCCACCTGTGGGGAAGGGAGGGCGGAAATTCTGACAATAGGTATCGGTCCTCTTGTCAAATGAACGCTTATTTCCTGTTTGGGAACATCTAGGATTTGATTAGCTGAGGCTGCCTGTGATGTAGTAGGATGCAAAACTGACACATCCATTGCAGAAGCTTGATCCTGTTGTGTTTTGGGGGGCTGGGGACTAGAAGATGTCTCTGACAACCCGGTAAAAGAAACATGATTCTCACTGATGTATCTCAATTCTGGGCTGAGCTTTGAAGGCTTTTGTGTAGTCCAGCAGCACCAAAATTGACAAAGTTTGCTGACCCCTGCCTTAGAAAAAAGCACACCAAGAACTCAGGCCAATGTAAGTTTCAATAGTGGGAGTGGTCCCTACTCACAATCTTTAGACAATAGTGACAAGAACTAATCCATTCCAAAGTATGTATTCTGACAAGGATTACAAACTCTTCTTAAATGAGCGTTTATTTCCTGTTGGGAACATCTAGGCTTTGATTAGCTGAGATGTAGTAGGATGCAAAGCTGAGGCATCCATTGCAGAAGCTTGATCCTGTTGTGTTTTGGGGGGGTTGTGGACTAGAAGATGTCTCTCACAACCCGGTAAAAGAAACATGATCCTCGCTGACGTATCTCAATTCTGGGCAGAGCTTTGAAGGTTTTTGTGTAGTCCAGCAGGGCCAAAATTAACAAAGTTTGCTGATCCCTGCCTTAGAGCATCTCCTGGGAGTTCTTGGCTGTCCTCAGCTCTCCAGACACAATCCAACTCACAGGCTCTCCCTTTACTCCAACTGCCTCCCTTGGAACTTTGTTCAATCAGGAGCTGCTGCTATTTGACTGTTTGCTGGCAGCTTGGGGGGGGGGGCAGTGACTCAACTTGGTCAGTAAACAAACTTTTCCATCACACCTATAAGTAAAAATCAATAAAAATCTGAGGTTCTGCCCCCCTCAACAAAAATCTTGACTACGTCCTACTGGTAGAAAGGTATCTATTTCAATCGTTTGTTTTCAAATAGAACATGCTTTATTTATAATTTTTATACTTTATTTAAAATACAATTACATAAAATGATAGGAGCATAATGAAATATTGTTGAAGCAGAAAAACAGAACTAGCAGCTCACCCAGGCAGAGTCTCTCAATTCTTATATCATCACTTGCTGTTGTGCACCTTTTCCTGCCTTTACTGTTCTGATTTTGTAGTGACTGAGTCTCCTTATACCTCTTCAAAAATTCAGAAAAGCCACCTTTGGTTAAGTTTCCACCAGCTTTTCTTCTAATTTCTTCATAACTGTAGCCTTGTTTACTTAATAGTACTATTTTACATCACTTTCTGGGTGACCAGTCAACTTTTTGTGCCATTTCTTTAATTTTACTATGTTTTACAAGCTCACTAAATGAAAGAACACTAAAAAGATCAACCAACTTGATAGCAGTCACATAGCTCACTGACAAATGTCCTCCTCTCAACTCCAATACTTAACATCAATAGCTGAATCCTACTGTGACCTGTTTAAATCATTGCCCAAACAAGATGACGCAGATAGGTTGCCTACCCCTGGTGTAGTAATGTTGGGACACACGCCCCATCCTACAATCCAGTGGGACCAGGCTAAAAGAGGGAAGGTGGTGCCACAACATTTACATTTTTCAGGACAAAACACAACAAAAGTGGTAGTTGCTGCCACAACTCCCTTCCCCAAGGATAGCCCAGAAGATTAACCCAAGGGAGAAGGTTACTCTTCCTGATTACCACCCTGCAATTGCTTCCACAAAATGCAGGCAGAAATTCAACAGGTTCCACAAATTACAGGCAGGAATTCAACAGATTCAGTAGGAGGCTAAGTGGTCAGACTTTAGATTCAGGCTTTCCCCAGAAAGGCACACAGAACAAATAGGAAAATCCTCTTTTTAAAATTTATTTAAAAAACAAGATTAAACATACTTAAAAGTAGGCACATCTCTTATATGGTTCAGACAGAAAAAACAACAACATTGTGAAGCATCGCTAGCTAAACGTACTTACAAAACGAGAACACAAAAGTTAAGGCAGTTCGTAAAGTTCTCGGCTGAATCCACATCTCAAGTAGGCAATAGACAATAGAAGACTACACCTGGTCTGGAGAGCCAAAGGCCCATGGGCCACAAGCGCCCGGGGGGGTCATTTAACCGCCCCACGAGCCGCCCCCAAACTGAGCTGCCCTCTCGGCGACTCCCCGTGTGCTGCACTAGACCAGCGTGGCATGGGGACTCGCTTCCACGGCGCTGAAAATCGCATGATGCACAGGCGCTGAAAAATGTGTCGACGCAGCCACTGGAAATCGTGGGCAAGCGCACTGATGCACGCACACAGTCAGGCCCACAGAGAGGTCTCTGCTGGAGTGAACCAATGCAGGCAAGGTAAACCTTGCTGACCTCTGCTCTAGACACTCATGCTCATTGGCTACATTCAAATGAAGGAAAGCTACTGCGTATCAACTTAAGCAAGTTGTGCTTTCTTTTTCTGGTTATTTGGCTACAACGTTTGATAGAATACAGGTAATTGAACCAACTTGGTTGCATTACATTCTTCATTAAATCATCTTTCCTTTTTTTTAAAAAAATAACATCTTTATTAATTTAAAATACAATTGTACAATAAAGGTAAGTACAACAGAATTAAGCACAAAAAAGTTTACCAGTAACAAGAAAATGTCAATTAAAAAAACCAAATATTTATACAGCATCATGTCTTATCCAATACAGTCTTCTATGAAAAACTTCGTCGTTCTCATTATACTTTTTCTATTGTCTTGATTTTATCGCACAGTTTATTTTGCAACTTTTTCCATATATTCCTCTAAGATGTTTATTCCATTTATTTATTGTACACAAGTATCATTCAATTCTGCTAGGATGATATCATTTTTGCAATATAGTATTATATATTCCTTAAATAATTTCCATTCTCCGTATACTTCTTGATTTAGGGCTCCCCTGACTTTTCTGGTCAGCTTTGCTAATTGGAAATACTCTATCATGAGTGTTTGCCAGTCTGTTATTGTTGGTGTTGTTTCACATTTCCAACTTATGGCTACAAGTATTATTGCAGCCGTGATTGCGTACATAAACAGTGGTCTTGTGTTTTGCTTAATTTCTATTGGCAATATTTCTAATAGGAAAATCTCTGGCCTTTTTTGACGTTAAATTTTAAATAATTTCTTAAATTGGCTTATAATTTTGCAGGTCCACCACATGTAATAGTAAGACCCCATCTCATTTTTGCATCGCCAACATGTTGGTGAACTATCTTTGTACATTTTAGCGAGTTTTGACAGGGTGTGATGCCATCTGTAAAGCATCTTCATGGTATTTTCCCTCAAGTTGTAACATGCTGTAAATTTGAGATCTTGCTGCCACAGTCTTTCCCACTGCTCCATATAGATAGTATATCCGAAGTCTTCGCCCACCTTATCATTGATGTTTTTACCTGCTCCTCTTTCACTTCCCACTCTAAAAGAAACTCATACATTCTTCATATATATACTTTGTCTTATTATATATTAATTCTCTTTCAATGATGGACGTTTCTTTGGCAAGACCTTCTTGTCTGTACACAATTTTTGATTTAGTTGGAAATATTGCATCCAATCAGACAGGTGGGATCTAATTTCATCGTATTTTTTTAAAGTTGGCTTATCTTTGTCTGATTCTAGTAATATCTGGTAGGTGGGCCACTCCATGTTTTTCCTTTTAACTGCTATTGGCTTCTGCTGGAGATGTCCACAAAGGTATCGTTGGTTCCAAATTTCCTCTATATTTACTCCATCATTAAATCATCTTTCCACTGATACATAATTTTATGGTATTACTCCAAAAAGAAGTGGTGTTATGAGCCATCAAACCTCGGAAATACACTTTCCCCAAAAGGTTTCCACAATTTTGGCCACTAGCATATGTCCCAATAGTGGGACACCCTCTCCAACACATAGCAGAGCTGTTGGGTTTTATATAAGCTAGATGTCTAGGTGTTAAAGACCAGCCATGTGCGATTTTGAGGCCTCTTTCTCTTGTCATTGCCACAATGGATTTATACTGGGCTTTGATCCACGGTCCATTCCATGCCTCTTAATTTCTAAATCTCTATTTGATCCCCACCATTCCCTCAAATTATTCTGGGGAGGGAAATGTGCCTCTATAGTTGATTTATACAGGGATGATATTCATCCTTTCGTTGCTATATTTTCTTCTACTTCTGTTTTTTTGTATGGTGTTAATCGTCTTGTGGCTTCAGTTTTAATCTTGGAGGTTATTAGAAATGATCTTAGTTGGGTCACGAATGCATAGTATGAATGTTAGGCCCAAAGAAAATGGAGAATTCGCAAGGCACGGTATGTTGGCAAGTGAAATGAGAAACTAGTTTTTGTTGGCATGCAACCAAGGAAACGGGGGCAATTGGCAGGGCCCCAGCTGACTCCAGCCCACCGGCCAGTGTGCCGGGCGAACTCCAGTCTTCGGACAGCATGAATCTGTGAGCTTCAGAAGCTAGGGCACGCTACTCAGCAGAGTAAATGCACAACAGAAGTGGCAGGAGAGGCTGTGTGGGCATATTTACAAGCAGTTTATTGGGCGTAGATCAGGACAAAAGGAAACATGTCTGATCTCCTTCGTGTCCAAAGCAAGACCGCATAAAGCAAAAGCTATGCACAAACAGAAGTTCCCAGCCAGCTGTGCTGGAGTGTAAACAACAACAACAATCTTTATTACGGTCCAAAGACCCAACAAATGGTTACAAAGCAATGCACAAGTCAGACAGTCTACCTCCAGGTTAAACAAGCATTTTGTTCAGAATATAGGGATCATTGGTTCTTGCAACCACCGACAAAAACTTTGCCACTGCTAATGTTCTAGCATTTGTCCGGTCTTCCAATAGGAACCTGACATAGTGAGCCTCTGATTTTCCCGGGAAAGGTACCAGCAAGGGTAGTATCAGTTCAGTCCTGGCTTGCTCATATTTTGCACAGTGCAACAAAATATGTTTTATGGAATCGATGTCTTGAGCACACGAGTAAAGTCTGTCCTGATAGGGAACTCCTTTCAACCTGCCATCCAACACTGCAGAAGGAAAGACGTTTAGTCTGGCTTTGGTGAAAAGCCTCTGATAGTTTGGTACTGTCAGGTTTTTAATGTAAGATGTTAACTTAAAGACATGTCCATATTGTACTCCTACTGCCAGCGGACTACAGACTGCGTGTGATCGAGATCGCAAGTCACTGTGTGCAAGTCACTTTGTGTTCTGAGCTCCGTTGAGGAGGCTGGGTAGCAACTTCTCAGCTGCACTGCAAGATGTTAGTTCCCATGTCTGCTAGTCCATCCAGCCATTCGGCTCAGCCCTCAAGGCCACTCGACTGCTTCATTAAACATTAAATATTCCCCCTCCCCCCACTTAATGAGCTACTGCAATGAATATGCTAGTTTTAATTGTATTTTCAGTTTGATTTTTTAAAGAAAGCACTTTTTGGTTCTGTTTGGTCTGCTGATTAGCGACCTTTTTTGGAGGCATAATCTGGCAGGACAGAGGGATGAGGCAGAGTCTGTGTGTGTCTGTCTTGACTGTAAAGCAATTTTTTAGAAAATTACTTATATATTTTATTATGTGTGTATCTATAAAGTGAAGCTTTTCGTCAGTTTTGCATCAAAATCACAGCTTGTCCTGCAGATTTATTCCAAGTGTAGTCCTTGGATTTTAAGTTCAGGCAAAAGTTATTCTAACAAATTTATTGTGCCTTAGGTCACACGAGCAGTTCAGCATAGCATCCCCTGTGGACATATTGCCAGACATGAAACGAATTGAGAGCCGTTTCATGTAAAATGCTTCCCCTTAAACAAATCTCTATGCACTAAGTCCTTTGTGAAATTGAAAATAACGGCCCCCCCTCCCTGACACGTTGCCAGAAGGAAAGGAACTTATAATTGCTTAAGGCACACTGGCGGGCTTTGCTAACGTGCATGGCTTCAAAGACTGGTTTTTAAGGGCAGGCAGGGGATAAGTGCAGATAAGGTGAAGGACCACCTGCTCACAATTGTGGAGAGGAGAGGAAGGGGGTGCGCCACTGTAACAGTGACACCCCCCCACAAACACACCTGAAGAAGTGCAAAATGGCAACCGGAGGGACAACTGCCAGTCCCAAAAAGGCAGCCACGTGGTTTCTAGGGCAAGAAAACGGTGATTGCTAGAGTCTTTTCTGAAGCCCTTTTCCAGGAACCACTCTCCAGATGAGTCTCTCTCTCCCCCACCCACACATTCCCCGCCTAATTCCAGGGGGTGATCCCCCCCTTGTGTTACCTGAAGGCAAAAATGATTGACAAAATGGGTCACCTGCGCTCTCTGCCGCCAACTGCCGCACAGCTCCAACTCCTCTTTCTCAACGCCAACTCTTCAGCTGCCTTGTAGTCCCAAGGATCGGGGCAGCTGGCCTTTTACGGCCATGGGGTGGACCAGAGGGAAGACCGCTCCACTCAGGTCTGCTCTCAAGCCCCGTCCGCCTGGCCTGGCCAGAATGGCCAGAATTTAAACCAAGGCTGCTGGGGACACCCAACATTCTGCTCAGTCGCCATGGAGAATTCTCACCCAACTGCCGGCCGCCTCTGCAGCGTTGCCCCCAGGGATCCGGCCCCGTTGTGATGGGCTGCAACTGCCACCCACACAGGACTGGGTAAGTGGCCATTACGAGGCCTTAAAGACTGTCGATGTGATTGTAATTCTGTAAACAGCTTGAGTGACAGCATGGAGACTGTAAGGAAAATTACAGTTTCCTTTTTAACTTCTAAAGCTCTTTCAAATTTCCATTTTTTGTATTGTGGGCTGTGTGGGTCAGCCCACAGCGGCCCCTCTGAGTCCAGCACGGTCAGCCAGATCCCCACACAGTGGGTTGGGCTAGATGACCCTTTGGGAGCCCTTCCAATTCCACAATTTGAGGATTCTTTCCGACCTGTGATTCCTGCCTTGTAGGGGTTGGACTAGATGAGCCTCAGGACCCCTTCCCACTCTACCATTCTATAATTCTTTGCATCTTTCCTGGGTCTTCCAGTCTGTGCATTTTTTTTTATTTCTTAAAAAAGAACAGTTTAATTGAACAATGTAAAAGAAAGAGTTAACAATGACAATTCCATATATTACTATTTAATGCATAGGTATTATCCAAATGCATGCATGTTTATTTTCAACCTATTATGTTTTGCATAAATGTGTTCCAAATATACTTGCCTGTGCAAAGTCTACGTCTGTAAGCAATACTTGGGAGTAACTAATGCGTAAGCAGCTCTCAATATATATATTTAGCAAGCACGATTGGATGACAGCAAGACTTTGTAAAATGAAGGGGTTGCTCTTTATGTCACAAGCTGGGCTGATATGTAGCATTGGAGCTATTTGGGTGTAGTACTGTTACCTAATGGTGGCGTAGGATTTCCCTGTCAGTCCTCCCCAAGGTCAGGGTTGAAATATTCCCATCTTCAAGATGCCAGTATGAAGTACCAGCATCAGGCCTGCAGAGTGTTAACAAAAACTTAAATTACTAGGCAATACTGTAGTCAGATTGGTTTCTGGCAAACACTTACCAATCCTGTGCAAGATAGTCTCTGCATTCTCCTAAAAAAAAACAAAAAACAAAAAAAAACAACCGCTAAATTTGTGTGCAGACAGGGGTGCTGAAAAATTGCAACACCACAGACCTGTGAGTCTTGTCTCTCAATGAATGAGATATTAATATTTGTCCTTATTTTGCTATAGTTTGTTCAGCTTAACATAGAAGTGAAGCCTGAGACTGGATACAGTGGTGCTTCAGGTTACATACGCTTCAGGTTACAGACTCCGCTAACCCAGAAATAGTACCTTGGGTTGAGAACAGCAGGAGGCCCATTAGAGAAAGTGCGCCTCAGATTAAGAACGGACCTCCAGAACGAATCAAGTTCGTAACCCAAGGTACCACTGTAATTGAAATCAAGAACAGAATAATAAAACCAGGTCAAGGGAAACTGATCACAGTATTACGTTTGTGTTTCATTTAATGTATTAAGCAAATCCTCTCATAAGCAAGAGTGGAGTCCCTGCTTTTTCAGAGCTAACCCTGATATCTTGGTCATGTTGCAAATCCTGTGCCGTGTTCTGCTTCCCATCAGGAACAAGGATGTCTCCATCAATGCAAAGGTAGAGGACACCTGTCTCTCCACCACATCAGATGAGGATGCTCTTCAGGGGAAGATGATCAGTATCTTCAGTTGCAAGATCTACACTTCTCATCTTGGGATCACGGTACATTGTTTTGCCTTGCAAGGATGCTATTGGCCTTGGGTCCTTCTTGCAAGACCTCCTACCACAAATAAAGACCCAGCATAAGAAATATTTTCATAACAAATATACGTAAGCTGCCTGATTGCAGGGGGAAAAAGGCTCAGAGTGATATTGTCACTGAAAATTATTACAGCAAGTATTTGAAATGTTCCAAAGGGTAAACAATAGCCTGGGACAAATTAACTCTTATACCAACTTTCTAAGCATCTAAGCTCACCATTATCAGGGCAGGCTCCCTGTTCAATTTATATACTACCCTTTATCAAAAAATCTCAGGACAGTGTACAACATTAAAAACATACTACATCAGAACATCAATGATAAAAACATAATAAAAGCACAATGACAGCCAAATAAGCCTAATAGTCCTCTCTCACACACTTTCACAGGCCATATATTATTTCATAGCTATAAGGCCTGAGTAAAGAGGAATGTTTTTGCCTGGTGGCTAAATAATAGTAAGAGTAAGAGTAATAGTAGTAATACGTTATTGTTCATATGCCGCCGATCTGACTGGGTTTCCCCAGCCACTCTGGACAGCTTCCAACAAATTAAAACACAATACAACATCAAACATTAAGAACTTCCCTCAACAGAGCTGCCTTCAGATGTCTTCTGAAAGTCAGATAGTTGTTTATTTCCTTGACATCTGATGGGAGCCCAGGATGCTTTCCTTTTCTTCACAGATGCCTGTACAGCAGCCTCCTAGCTATCGCTGAGCCATTCATCAGAGATGCCGTGGGGGGAAAGGTAGGACCCTTCTAACTCTAGGTTTCTATGACAACCTTGTATGCAGAAACTGGGCCTGCCTGGCTGCTCTGGCTTTTGAATTGTACCCGCATAATGGGAGACTTTGTCTATGGCCATCAGGAGATGGTAACCCAGTTTTCAGCTTTAAAACAGGTTCACCAAAAGGCTTTGAGGCAGGTGAAGTACAGAGCGCTCCCTGGTCCTACCCCTGACTTCCACCCACATGAGATGCGAAGGGGCTCTTGGGGGGGGGGCTTTCTGTGTATTCCCTACACTAGCAGGTGCCCAGCGCACTTTCTGCTGCATGTGTGGAGGTCAGGGATGGGGTCAGAAGGAGCAACCTCACTCCCCACAAACACACATCTGACCTCTTCAAACTGTTGCAGCTGCCACATAATAGTAATAATAATAATTTATTATTTATACCCCGCCCATCGGGCTGAGTTTCCCCAGCCACTCTGGGAGGCTTCCAACAGAATATTAAAATACAATAGTCTATTAAACATTAAAAGCTTCCCTAAACAGGGTTGTCATCAGATGTCTTGTAAAAGTCTCATAGTTGTTGTTCTCTTTGACATCTGGTGGGAGGGCGTTCCACAGGGCGGGGGCCGCTACTGAGAAGGCCCTCTTCCTGGTTCCCTGTAACTTGGCTTCTTTCAGTGAGGGAACCACCAGAAGGCCCTCGGTGCTGGACCTCAGTGTCCGGGCAGATCGATGGAAGTGGAGATGCTCCTTCAGATATACTGGACCGAGGCCATTTAGGGCTTTTTAAAGGTCAGCACCAACACTGAATTGTGCTCAGAAACGTACTGGGAGCCAATGTAGGTCTTTCAAGACCTGTGTTATATGGTCTCGGCGGCCGCTCCCAGTTACCAGTCTAGTTGCCGCATTCTGGATTAGTTGTAGTTTCTGGGTCACCTTCAAAGGTAGCCCCATGTAGAGCGCATTGCAGTAGTCCAAGCGGGAGATAACCAGAGCATGCACCACTCTGGCAAGACAGTCTGGGGCAGGTAGGGTCTCAGCCTGCGTACCAGATGGAGCTGGTAAACAGCTGCCCTGGACATATACTTCAAAAGTATGGGGCAGGGGGCATGTAGCTTGTCCAACCAATCTCTCAGCTCCTGTTTGGCCACACAGTGCCCCAGCAGTGCCTTTAACCCTTGTCTTTCCTGTGTATGTGTGCATTAAAGAGTTTGGCAGAAACTGGAGGAGTTCTTCACCCAGCAGAAAGGGCCAGGACACCGACCAAGCAGATTCCCCAGTGTTAAAGCGTTTGCCAGCACAAAATCGCAGACATCCTATTCTGGTGCGGGAAAAGGTCAGTGATCCCATGTTATTTTCTCTGGAATAACATATCCCCACATACAAACCTGTTTGGGCTCTGAGATCTTCAGGGGAGAGCCTTCTCTTGGTCATCTTCACAAGCATTGTTGCTGGGGATGTGGGAGAGGTCCTTCTCAGTAGCAACCTGGGGCTCCCAGACAATTTTGGAACTCCCTCCCTGGAGAAGAATATACTGGCTTGCTCCTTGCTCCCCTTCTGCCCACAAGTGAAGACCTTGTTCCCACAAGAGCCCACAGGGCAGCATTCCAGGGTTAGTCTGAGCAAGGCAGAATAGAGTGGGACTACAGGCTGGCGGGACGCGGGTGGCGCTGTGGGTTAAACCACAGAGCCTAGGACTTGCCGATCAGAAGGTCGGCGGTTTGAATCCCCGCAACAGGGTGAGCTCCTGTTGCTCGGTCCCTGCTCCTGCCCACCTAGCAGTTCGAAAGCACATCAAAGTGCAAGTAGATAAATAGGTACCGCTCCGGCGGGAAGGTAAACGGCGTTTCCGTGCGCTGCTCTGGTTTGCCAGAAGCGGCTTAGTCATGCTGGCCACATGACCCGGAAGCTGTACGCTGGCTCCCTCGGCCAGTAAAGCGAGATGAGCGCCGCAACCCCAGAGTCGGCCACGACTGGACCTAACGGTCAGGGGTCCCTTTACCTTTACCTTTTGCAGGCTGGCAGACAGCAGTCCTGAACACTCTTCAGAAACTGGGTTTTGCCCCTCAAGCCCTTCTAAGTCTGGGCTTGGGCCAAGCAAAAGCTATGGTTAGGCAAAGAATTATAGACACCAAGAGACAACAGGACTGCTCAAGGTTCCCCGACTACAAAATTGTAGAAATCGAGAGATACATAGCTGCTCCAGCAGCCTATCTCTTTTTTCTTGTATCCAAAAATGCAAGAAGGGCAGGTTTTTATGTGTTTATACGCCTATCGCACTTTTAAACTTAAAATCCATTGTTGTATATTGTTTTAAATGTTCATTTTGCTATTGGGATTGTAGTTCCATTTGTGTTTCACAAGCTGGTCTCTGACCATAATAAATTTCATGCCATGAGTGGGACTATAGAACTTCCCTTGATCTGAACACAAGACTTCTGTTGATGCAGCCTAGAATAGCCTTAGCTCTTTTTGCTGCTGCATCACACTGTTGGCTCATGTTCAGCTTATGGTCCACCAAGACCCCTAGATCCTTTCCACATGTACTGCTGGCAAGCCAGGTGCCCCCCCATTCTATACAGAAGATGCCAACCAAAGATGGGGCAGCCGGTACATGTTGCACTGCATGAGAACATGATACAAATCCCATGGACAGGACAGAGAGAAGTGTATTGGGAATGTTGCCAGAGAGAGCAGAGAGCACAATAAACCAGAAGACCTAATCCTGCATCTTATTGACTGGGTCTCTCTCTCTGTTTGCAGATCAAAGCTGGAAGTAGAAGCAAGGGGAAAGTGTGAACTTCAGCGCCAGTGGAAAACCCAACACTGTTGAGAAATCTGTGTAATGAGGCAATGTACATTTGCTTTGGGCTTTTCTCTCGTATTGCTCTATTTGTGGAAGTCGTGGTGAAGTAGAGACAGTGCGGTGTAGTGGTCACAGCACTGGCCTAGCACCTGGGAGAGAGCAGTTTTCAGATTCTCCCACTTGGCCATGAAGATTACTGGGTGTGACCTTTGGGCCATTCTCCAGTGCTCAGCTGAACCTACCTCACAGGGTGGTTGAGAGCATAGGGGAGAACAATATATGCCACCTTGAGCTCCTTGGGGGAAGGTGGGATATAACTAGTAATAAATAAATAATAGTAAGTAGTATAATTGGGGGGGGGGGGAGAGCACGGAAGATACTGTAAATCCAATAATAACCCTAAGAAGCTGCCCCCATGCATGTGCAGGTTTTGCTCCTGCTTTTTGGAAGATTCCCTAGTTACATAAAGTTGTTCAAAAACAGTAGTTCCCAAACTTTTGGGCCCCCGCCTTCTTGGTTCCAAAACCCCACCCCCTGGATCCACTAAGTTACCCTATAAAATGCATTGTTCACAATAGTGGTTTGCACAACCAAGTAAGGACGATAGTAACTCAATAAAGTTAAATAAAAACAGTAAAAATTAATTACACATCTATTCAAAATCAAGTGAAAACTCTTGTTTTAGAAAGCCGATAAACTTAATCCCACCAAGGCCCCCACTTTGGGAACCACTGTTAACGCTGTGCTTTAATGTTGCAGACCTTGCAATGAAGGGCAGGTAAATGAAGAGGAACAAAAAGAACTTTGAGGTCCATCTTGGGAGTCCATCGCAACCCACACCCACCTTAAATTGGCTCTGGTTCTGCCAGCAGTTGCCCTCCCTGGCTGTGCAACCCACTTGCCCCAAGTTCTGCCTTCTGGAAGGATGTTTGTCCATATTATCCCAGCAAGGAACAAATCCCCTTACCAGTCACAGGTACAGTGGGGGGGGGGAGTATTTGATCTCCTGCTAAATTTGCCCGTTTGCCCTCTGACGAAGAAATGACCAGTCCATAATTGTAAAGGTAGGTTTATTGTAGCTGTGAGAGAGAGAATCACAACAGCAGAAACCCAGAAGACAAAAGTCAGAGATTGATGTCAGGCTACCTGGTATCTTCACTGTATATAACGAGCTGAGATTAGAAGCACCTGCTGTACGGGAGAGTTCTTACCTGTAATCCCAGCTCGTTACAGTACCTGTACAAAAGACACCTGATGACAGAAGCAATCAATCCAGCAGATTCCAAAGTAGCCACCATGACCAAGAACAAAGAGCTGTCCAAGGATGTCAGGGACAAGATTGTAGACCTGCCCAAGGCTGGACTGGGCTACAAGACAATTGCCAAGCAGCTGGGTGAGAAGGTGACAACAGTTGGTGCAATAAATCACAAATGGAAGAAACACAAAATAACTGTCAACCTCCCTCGGTCTGGGGCTCCATGCAAGATCTCATCTCGTGGAGTTGCAATGATCATGAGAACGGTGACGAAGCAGCCCAGAACTGCACGGGGGGAACTTGTCAATGATCTCAGGGCAGCTGGGACTATAAAAGGTAAAGGGACCCCTGACCATTAGGTCCAGTCGTGGCCGATTCTGGGGTTGCAGCGCTCATCTTGCTTTACTGGCCGAGGGAGCCAGCATACAGCTTCCGGGTCATGTTTGCCAGCATCACTAAGCCGCTTCTGGCGAACCAGAGCAGCGCACGAAAACACTGTTTACCTTCCCGCCGGAGCGGTACCTATTTATCTACTTGCACTTTGACATGCTTTCGAACTGCTAGGTTGGCAGGAGCAAGGACCGAGCAACAGGAGCTCACCCCGTCGGGGGGATTCGAACCACCAACCTTCTGATCAGCAAGTCCTAGGCTCTGTGGTTTAACCCACAGCGCCACCCGCGTCCCCAGCTGGGACCATAATCACCATGAAAACAGTTGATAACACACTATGCCTTGAAGGACTGAGATCTTGCAGAGCCCGCAAGGTCCCCTTGCTCAAGACAGCACATGTACAGGCCCATCTGCAGTTTGCCAGTGCACATCTGAATGACCCAGAGGAGAACTGGGTGAAAGTGTTGTGGTCAGATGAGACCAAAATCGAGCTCTTTGGCATCAACTGAACTCGCTGTGTTTGGAGGAGGAATGCTGCCCAAGACCCCAAGAACACCACCCCCACCATCAAACATGGAGGGGGACATATTATGCTTTGGGCGTTTTTTTCTGCTAAGGGGACAGGACACCTTCACCGCATCGAAGGGACAACGGATGGGATCGTGTATCGTCAGTTCTTGGGTGAGCGCCTCCTTCCCTCAGCCAGGGCATTGAAAATGGGTATTCCGGCATGACAATGAGCCAAAACACACAGCCAAGGCACAAAGGAGTGGCTCAAGAAGAAGCCCATTAAGGTCCTGGAGTGGCCTAGCCAGTCTCCAGACCTAAATCCCATCAAAAATATGGTGGGAGCTGAAGGTTCGAGTAGCTACACATCAGCCTCGAAATCTTACCGACTTGGAGAGGATTTGCAAAGAGGGGTGGGGCAAAATACCTCCTGAGATGTGTGCAAACCTGGTGGCCACCTACAAGAAACGTCTGACCTCTGTAATTGCCAACAAGGGTTTTGCCACCCACCACGTACTAAGTCATCTTTTGCAAAGGGATCAAATACTTATTTCACTCATTATAATGCACACCAATCTGACTTTTTTCTTCTAGCTTTTACGTTGTTTTCCTGTTGTTATTCCGTCTCTCGCAGCTACACTAAACCTACAATTACAATTATGGACTGGTCATTTCTTCGTCAGAGGGCAAATGGGCAAATTTAGCAGAGGATCAAATGCTTTCCCCCCTCACTGTAATTGGTCACTAATGCGAAGGCTTTGAAAGGGGCTCTGCAGCCATTTAGGGAAAGTCATTTGGGTCATGGGACCCCCCCCCTCCGCTGTTGCCAAGGATGCTCTGCTCTGGCAAATCTGCATAGCAGTTTCACATAAAAAGGAAGCCTAAATCTTGCACAGGGCAATCTCATCACTTCTGGGGAGAAGAGAGACTGCTACTGTTCCTAATCTGGGCATCCTGACTCCATTAACCATCCCCATTCTCATTCTTTACTTTCTATATAACAACCAATTTAATAATTTACCCATACTTGAGGTTACATTGGATAACTCATAACTGATGCGCTTCAAACAACAAAAGCAAGAAGGATGCAGCCACCAGTCCCTCGGGTGTCACCCAGCCACTCGAAATTCACTCTTCTATCACTTTTTAAAAATTAAATTATTTCAAGTATATAACAACAACATGCATATATGGAACGCGTTTCCAGTCTTGTTTGTTTTGATATTTAAGGCCCTTGTCCAAGGCAGGTTCATGTTATTGTGAAAATGGATATAAAGGGAATTTTCTTCTCTTCTGATGAGATTGTTGGAAGATTCAGGGTGGGTAAGAGGAAAGGCCTTCATGCACCACGTAGGTGCATGAAGGTGCATAAACTGTGGAACTCCCTTCCACAGCAGGCAGTTGTGGCCACCAAGTTGCACAGCTTTAAAAGAGGACTGGACAGATTCATGGGAGAGGAGAGGGCTATGAGTGGCTATGCTAAACCAGGGATGGGGGGCAGTTAAACGATTCCCCAAAAGTCCCACATCCCCACCACAGCCTCTAACTAAGGCCAGGAAATGACCATTTACACAAGCACCATACATAGATATCAGCAAAGCGGCTCAAAAGCAGTCTATAAAATTGGAGCAATAAGCAAATATTGTACTATTTCCTCTGCCTATCCAATATAGAAAACTGTAGAAACTTCAAATATTTGCCAAAATTCTGCGGTTTGATGGATTTCCTTGGTTCCAGCGGCTAATGACTCCTCTGCAAGAGGGGAATCCAGGGCTCCCCCTGACTCCATAGTCCCTTAAGGATAAGGTCACATACTCCTTTCCCCTCCACAAGGTGTGAACTTAGCCACACAATAGGAGGCAGGAGGCAGTCAAGGGCAGCACTTACTCCAGACAGAAGTCCATTGGGATGGTAGATTGAATCCTGATACTTTCAAAGGAGAAGCAGAGGAAAGCCTTGCAGCTAGTGGGATGTGTAAATGCTTTTATTCTTGGGAAGCAGGTACTTAAAAGGGGTCAGGAACAAGGATGATGAACGGGTGGGTGATGGGCTCATTGTTCTACATGCCAAACACTCCTGCTTTGTGACGTATTGGTGATGCTGTTGAAAGATGTATTATGGGAAATGGGGGGAGGTCTTAAAAGTTCGCGGATTATTATTTGATATGTTAATTGGATGTTTTTTATTGGAAAATTAATAAAAACGATTTAACAAAACAAAAAGGTTCGCGCAACCCCATACTCGGGGTTCCTACTTTCTGTGTTTGAACCTTGCTGCAACAAATACAGATCAGGTTTACTGACTGCTGTTTTGTCTCTTTAACTTGGCTGGAGACTCCTTTTGCTGACCGGAGGGACTCGCGGGAAGTGGCACCCCATGAGCTGGGCAGCAGAGTAAATCTGCACCCCTGAATCTTTTCCCTTATCAGCTGCTAGCCAGGACAGCTGTGCTCTTCCTGCACAGCCAGAAGCAGCAGTGCTTCCAAATACTCATTGCTGAGGAGAGGGCTCATGTGTGTGTTTGTGTCTCACATTTAGACAAACGACATGCAACAATTACGCAAAATGAGAATTAAAGCAACGGAATGTGCTCAGATAAATGTTTCTGAATATATTAACAAAGTTGTGTTAAAGTATATATATATCATCATTATTACAGATATGAAATGATGTATATCGTGTATGCTCAAATTGTTGAGCATGACTAAAATGTGTTTTGTATCAATAACAATTTTAATGTATAGGGAGAAAGAGGGAAATGAGGATATATATACTTCATGCCCACCAAACTGCTGTAAACTATGGATTCTGTTTTGCCATATGCCTTGTTGTTCATGTAATCAATAAAATCACACCAAGCTGCATAAAAATGGTTGTTCCTTTTGGCCTCTTGCCACTTTCACTTTTTGCGCCTGTTTATCCAATAACTCTGTTTGGCAGCTTGCATTATACCATTGATCCATAGTCAGCAATCAAGATGCTGGACTGGAAGGGCCATGGGCCTGATCCTGCAGGCTCTTCCTGGGTTGTCACCAGAGGGTTGTTAGCTGCGGGTTTCCAAGAGCATACCAAGGAAGGAAGGGGGTCCTGTGGCTGGATTTCTCCACATAGCTAATTTCTATCTGATTTAGACATTTCATGTAACTGGTGTTGTAACTAATCCATAACATGGCTCCTTTTAAAAATTTTCACCTATGATCTTTTTCTTTTACTTCTTTATTTTTTCTGTGTTCTTTTTTTCTTCTTTCTGATACCTTACCTTTCATTTCACTCCTTTATTGTGAATAGCATTTTATAGAAGTATAAATAACTAAATATGAAGAGAGAGAAAGTATTCTCTAATTTTTTTCCTTGGTTATATGTATTTTCTTCCTTTTGTATTTTCTTTTGTTGTAAATATGTATGTTTTCTAATTTGTAGTTAATAAAAATTTAAAAAATTAAAAACAAAAACAAAACATGGCTCCTTGCGTTTTCCATTGATATCAGTTTGGGTCCCCCCGCCCCCCCCCCCCCGGTAAAGTCCAGCAATTCCCTGTCCTTCCCCCCTTGTCTCTTTCTGCCCTCCTCTGCCCCCCACATGAAATCCGGCGCTTGGCCTTCCCAACCTTCTCTTGGGCTTCCTGGGTGTATCTGGCCTCAGTCAGGGTCAGGGCAGAGCAACCTCCATCTGGTTCAGCCAGCAGGGTCTCCTCTTCCAAGAGAAACGCTCTGCTTTTCTCCTTTCTTTAGATAAAAGAAAAGAAAAACGGTTCTAATAAACTCTTCCAGGTGTTGAGAAAACATAGGCTCTCTTTTCTTCACCAGCAGGATTTATTTACTGGCTTGGGAAGAAAGTGATGGCATGTTGAGCAGATCCAGAAGAGGGAGACACGAGACCAGAGATCCAAATTAGGAAGGAGGCCCGTTAACAAATGCACCACCTCCTGTTCATAAGTGCTGGTTGTGTACCTTGTGCTCCCAACACAGCAGGCTGCTCTGAGTTCCTGTTGCCCCGTCTCAAAAAAGGACATCCATGGATCTGAAAAACCCATAAAAGGCTGCCCCCAATCATCAAGGGGGTGTGTGATACAAGCCTTTCCCTGTGAGTATTTCCACTCTTAGCAGGGCTCCTACAAGGCTAAACCTTTTTGAGCTTTTTAATTTGAGAGAATATATTCTGTTAGTTTATTTACTTACTAAATCTGTATACCACCTGAAGATCTCAGGGGCGATTCACATGATAAAAATATGAGATACAAACACAAAAGGCATAATAAAAACAAGAACAAAACTCTTCTACCTTCTATTATGTTACAACGTGGGGTCACCCTGTGAAGCGAACTTGGCAGTAGGTGCTCAACAGATAAAAGTACACACACACGTGCAATACACAATTAGCCTACAGAATTCATTGGCAGAAGATGAGGTGATGGCAGCTAGCATATACAGTCGTACCTTGGAAGCCGAACACCTTGGGAGTCGAACATTTTGGCTCCAGAACACTGCAAACCCGGAAGTGAGCCCATTCGTGAATGTTCTTTGGAATCTGAACGGCACTGCTTCTGATTGGCTGCAGGAGCTTCCTGCAGTGAATTGGAAGCCGCGCCTTGGTTTCCAAATGTTTTGAAAGTTGAACGGACTTCCCGAACAGATTCCGTTTGACTTCCGAGTTACGACTACTGTGTTTTAAAGAGGCTCGGAAGGATGAAGGAGCAGGAGGCAAGGCTGCTGAGCAGTCTCACAGGGAGCTGGCAGCAACACACACTACTGGCTAAATGGAACCTCTGTATTCAGGGGCACTGTACCCCTGAGTAGGGACACAGCAGGAAAAGGCCTCACTTGCAGTCTAGTCGCCTCTGATACAGAAGAATATCCTCTTAAGCAGGACACACCCTGGTTCTAATCTTTTTGTTGTTACTTCAGGTTCTGTCCACCATCCTATCACCATCTATTTTAAGAGGTGTCAGAGGCAAGGATGAGCCTGAGGGGTTGCACATCGACCATTCTTCCTTGCTCCTACAATTTCTTTTGCCATGGGTCACCACTGTTAACGCTGAGCCACGCTGCTCTCCCTGCCAGGAAATGGGGTCTCTCCCACCTAAGAAAAAAGTACATCTCAATGTCAGATAATGTGCAAATTCATGCGTGCTCGCTGTAAATGTATCTTAGTGCTACAGAGCACAGCCGACCTGGCTAGAGACTGATGGATGGGGTGGGGTAGGAGCTTTTGATGGTGGTCAAGACTTAATCTGGAGGGGTTTTTGTGCTCTTGGAATTGTTTTGTATCTTTATTGTTATACATTATTATGAATTACCTGGGGCCTGTTTAATCTTACCGTATGCTTACTGAGATATTTCATTTATTATTGTTTACTAGCGGGCACATGTATATATTAGTGTAGTTTGTGAATTTGGACCCATCACACCAAAAATCGGGTGAAGTCATGCCAAAGTCACATTTCAGTCTGCCATCTCAATTCAAAATGACTCCTGGCTTCCAAATTTGGTGTGAAATTCATTTTAATGTAAAATCACCTAATCCGCCTGTTCCCAAAACAATATGCAAACACGGCTGTCTTTCCAAATCTGCACTTCTGAACGCTGCAGTGTGGTTTTCTTTCTTTTTTAAAATTAGTTTTTAATAAGGTTTTTTGCGTTACAAAGAAAACATAAACAGGGAGTGGTACATTGTCTCCATATTTGCAGTTTTCAGGCCAAAGAACATAGTACAAAATGAGTATATTAGGGGAATATGTATATTAAAATAGCATGCAAACTGAATTATAATAGGGGCTAGTGTTTGCAAAATGTATTTGTATTATGGCAGCAATGCGCACTAATATGCTGATGAAAAATTGTAAAAATACAGAGATGTGCAAGAACTGAACTGAAGATTGGGAAGGGGAGAAAAGGTGGAAAGCCAAGACTGATTCATGGATCCCTGCTGTTACACACCAACAGAAATGCATCTGTTAAGAGTTTTTCCTCCTTCCCCCCTCCTTTCAGAGCTACACATCTCTGTCTCAGCCAAGTGTCACATTTTTAAGACTAGAGGAGTTCGAATGCAAAGCAAACAGCTCTTTCCAGTTGCCAATGTTTTCTTCTTTCTTTATCCTGAGCTGCGTTGGCAACAGCAACCAAACAGCTGAAATGAAATCAGTTTGATCTATTTAATCTACAGGAGACACTGGGACAAAGCAGGCGTGTGTCCGTTGTGCTCTGATTTCTGCCTCTCTCCTCTCCATCTGCCGTCAGAAATTTGGGTTTTCTGCCAGCCCCCTCGCATGCAGCCTGGACACGCATCCAAGCCGCTTACATCCCCAAGGCTCCTGCTCAGTGACAAGTGGCTTGCGGTGCCCTGGCTGGCTTGGTTGAGTGCCAGAGGCATCGCTGCCGTTGCCGAGTGTTGCTTCTCGGGGGTCAAAAGCAATCCAGGCATCCTGGCTGGCCTTGAAGTTTGACTTCAAGCCAGGCATACTTACGCACCCACTTATGTTGTTAACCCACCGCTTTCCTCGCTGCCCGATTCCACAGCAGCCCGACCAGACGCATGGCTAGGGGTGGCCGAGAAATCCATCTTCGCGTCTAGTTTGCATTGCTTGAACCAATTTGCAAAGCGGAACACAGCTGTGCTTTGAAATTTGCACTTCTCCAACCAGTGTGCACATACACAAAATTATAAATTAGTGACAATACAAAAAAGCATTATATAAGAGAAATACTGCTTTCTTAAGCGTTTTTAAGAACTCTGGTTGGATGAGAGATGGTTGAGTGCTGGGGTGTCAGTCAAGGTATTTGGGTAGAGAATGAGCAGCTGTGATGATGTATCTTTTGCCATATAGTGTGTGTCCTGATGGAAATGCTCTTGCAGACTCTTTGGACTGGTGAAGCATCACTGAATGATGTCTGACCAGTTGGGAATATGGCGTGAGCCTCTGTACTTGAACCCCAAGGGGAATTTACCCCACAAAACTCTTGCCCAGAAAGTTCTGGATGTGATATGCAGGAAAACAGCACTATACAAGGCAATAAATACTCTCAACACAGCTAAGACCTCACTTCTCCAGAGGAAAAGGAGAGAAGAGACAGGCTTGTGATACTGAAGATCTTGGCATCAGTCAAGTTTCATTTCCCTATTTCCGCACATCGTTTTACATGCATGTTGCTTTAGTTCATAACCCCAAACCTAAAGTCTGAAACCAGAGCAGTGCTCAATGGCTCCCGTCTCCCCTCCTGGGAGACCCATTAAGAACGTCATTACAGCAATTCGCACTCAGGTTTGCATTCACTTTATAATCCGTGTTAATCCTTGTCATGTTTGTTATGTTGCTATGGAGATCAAAATCGCCATGGTGAAGTCTTTGGAAACACATTTCCCGTCAAATTTATGCTCGTGTCATAAATTTGGGGGTTTGGATCATTTTGATAATTTATGTTACGATGTGTGTTGTGCATCTGAAAATTTTTACACATCACTTAGGAAGACAGGCGAACTAATGCCAGTGTACTGGAAGAAGCAAAGATCACCAATGTTGAAGCAATGATTCTTCAACATCAACTTTGTTGGACTGGTCATGCTGTGTGGATGCCTGATGATCATCTTCCAAAGCAACTACTCTATTCTGAACTTCAAAATGGAAAGCGTAATGCTGGTGGTCAACAAAAGAGGTTGAAAGACTGTCTCAAGGCAAATCTAAAAAAAATGTAGTATAAACACTGGCAATTGGGAAACACTGGCCTGTGAGTGCTCCAGTTGGAGAACAGCCTTTACCAAAGGTGTCCTGGGCTTTGAAGACACTCGAACTCAGGATGCAAGGGAGAAACGTGCTAAGAAGAAGGCACACTTGGTAAATCCACACCATGATCAACTCCCACCCGGAAACCAATGTCCCTACGTGGAAGGATGTGTGGATCCAGAATTGGCCTCCACAGTCACTTATGGACTCGTTGTTAAAACCGTGTTTATGAAAGACAATCTTACTTGGCTACGAGTCATCGCCGAAGAAGCATGCTTTTTTTTTGGATCTGGAAAGCGCCTCGAGGGCTTTCTGGTGAGATTGCAAAGCAGCATTCCCCGGGGATTTGGAGCCACGTGGCCTCAGGATCAGCCCTTGGGACTTTCCCAAGACCACATCCGCTCTCGCCAAGTTACACCCTCCGGTGAATAATGTGATTGTGCTTTTTTCTTGCGGCCAGGCAGGATGAAGAGATGTGTGGGTGTGCAGAGCAAGCCTTGTGAGTCTGGTGTGAGCGGAATG